GCGTTCCTCGAATAACGAAGAAAAGCCGCGTTCCTGTTCTAACGGCTGGTTCGTGACGTCACATCGGATGGCGACCGTAGAAGCGTTCATCTTTTGTCTACAGAACAGTCTGAGAGAACGTGACGGTTTGAGCATTTAAAGGGGTCATATGATGCTTTTTTTTAAAGATCGTTATTTTGTGTATTTGGTGTAACAGAATATGTTGACATGCTTTAATGTTCAAAAAACACCTTATTTTTCAAATACTGTACATTATTGTAGGTCCTCTATGCCCCGCCTCTCTCAAACGCTTCGTCCCTCCTTCCGACAAGCGCAGTCTGCTCTGATTGGCCAGCTGACCCGGTGCACTGTGATTGGCCGAACAATTCGAACATCTGGGTTGTGCTGTTCTGTTGCAAATAGGAATCATTGGTTAAGATTTATTTACATCTACTTCCGGAAGGCCAAATAAAGTGCTTTTGCTTTCACCTAGAAACACACAGCGTCTCCCTGACATGCTGCTTCAACACTAACTGCGGTTACTGAAACCACGCCTTCTTTCTTTGTGTGCACATTTGGGCGCATTATGCAAATATTTCCACATAGTGAGGTAGATATGTGGGGGCGTGTTTAAACGAGGCGTTTTAGGTAGGCGTGGTTGACTTAACTTTTATAAAGAATATCTCTTTGGATTTGAGACTTTAGTCTTTGCAACTTTACAGATCTTCTTTATGCACCAAGAGCTTGTAACACTCCAAAGAGAAAGGAAAACTTGAAATCGCATCATATGACCCCTTTGAAGACGTCCAAACAACTAATATTCGCCACCACTACTTATTATCACACGTATGTGGGGTTTTGTGATGTGTATTATTATGCTGCTGAATGTGCTAAACTGACGATTTACACAAATATGTCCACTGACAGACAGCACAAATCCTGTGATCATTTTTTATTTATTTTTTTATCGCAAAGTGTCATATTTTCCCCTTTAAATACTGAAGCAGTTAGTGGCCCCAAAAAGTATCCAGGCACTTAAAATGTATAAATGCCTTTGCATTTAAAAATAATAATAAAAGAAGTGCTTTAACCCTCTATGGTACGCATTATGTTCTAACCATGGAATATTTTTTTAAATACGTTTTTATTACATGAAATAGCTTTAATTATACAAATCAAAAAAATATTTGAGAATTTTTTTTGGGGGGGGGGTATTTAGGAAAACGTTGCCATATGGCAACAGTGTACCACAATGGAAAATGGCCAAAAAAGTAGTTTTTCTATTAAATTATGATTTTCTTTTCTATTTAAATGGTCATTTCTTTTAGTTATTGTTAGATTTTTATACTTGGAACTCATGCAAATCAAAAGTAAGTAGGTTCCTATCATTTAACCTTCAAAATGGTACTTAAAAGTATTATAATAATGCTTGCAAACGGACAAACAAATGCGCTTTTGTACCATATGTGCATATCAAATTCATCAGCTTTTTATTGTTTTACATCCAGAAACTTTCCAACAACAAAAAGTTAGCACCAGAAAGCATATGTTTCTTGCAAAACATGTTATAAAATAAGGTTGGTGGGTTTTAAATGATAAAACAGCTTTTTATATAAAGTTGGGTATATAAATATGTCCAACGTCATCCACACTAATGTAAAATGATACAGTGGGGAAAATATTTGATCCCCTGCTGATTTTGTACGTTTGCCCACTTGCAAAGAAACGAAGGGTCTGTGATTTTTATGGTAGGTTTATTTTAGCGGATAGAGACAGAGTACCAAGCAAAAAAATTGTGACACATTTTTTGCTTGGTATTCGGTCTCTATACATTCAAATAAACCTACCATAAAAATCACCGACCCGTCGTTTCTTTGCAAGTGGGCAAAATCAGCAGGGGATCAAATCAATATTTTCCCCACTGCATACTACATCTCAAATCTCAACTGCCTGCTTATTTATATCGTTGCCGATTGTAAATTATACAGTGGGTACAGAAAGTATTCAGACCCCCTTAAATTTTT